CAATACTATCTACAGCCAAAATATTTTATCACATCTCATGGAGACCCCCTTAACCAGCCTTTCCCTATTGTAACCCACTCCCTGGCTCCTGGCAATCCACCGTCTGTTCTTTGTCTCTATGGATTTGCCTATTCTGTATCCTATTCTGTATGCTTTGTTTAAATGGAATCACATGGACAAAAGAAAGATTACGTAGTAGAGAGGAGCCAGCACGTCCCCAGGGCCGGTTATGCAGTGTCCTGAAGATGGCATGGTACATGAAGAAAGTGACAGGACTAGACATCCTGAGGCAGCTGCAAAGGGGAAGTAAGGACAGTTCCCATTACCCAAGGGCACCTGGAGTTGCCAAGGTAGATGGGCAAGGCCATGATCCTGGTGGGAGGAGAAAGGAGGATCCCGAAGTTGTGGAGAGGAGTGTACCAGCAGGGGCTGGGAGGACTTGGCTCTCAGAGCAGCTGGCCACTCTCAGTGCTTGAACACAGTCTCCTGTCAGCCCTGCCAACGTGAATGCTGGAGCCAGCTGAAACCAGGATGGGAAGTAAATAACATCTGAACAGATTTTAACTGAATGTAACTGAAATATAGACATGAATTGATAGGCTAATTCCTAAGGTGGATGGACACTCATGCTGTGACATTTCAGTCTCTCTATTAGCCAGAATTGGAGCTTCTATTAGAAAACTCTCCAGATATGGAAACGTGAAATTGCATTTTTCCTCTTGAGTCTCTGACTGAAAAATTTGTCCCTGCAGTAAGATTCCAACTGATTTACTTAAATGATTGTGTCAGGGATATGTTCCGTATCTTCAGTAGTCTAACTTATTACTTTATGGCCAAAATGTCAGACGATCTAAAGTTTTCTTTGTGTCTGATGGTGGCACACCAGTAAACCTCAACACATTGCGAGTTTGACCCACATGGAAGGTTCCAGGTTCATATAAAGGGACCTCCCTGAGTATGCTGGGTACATGCTTGCCTATGATCCATGTCTGGCTGAGGCTGGGGCTGGGCCACAGTGTCAGGACTTTGTTGGGGGGTGCCTATCTGTCTTTCTTGCTTAGGGAAGAAATAAATAAACTTTGAAAAATCATGTGTTAAAGTTTTCTAGTAAAGACTGAGAAATGATTCAAAATGCTTATACTGAAAGGAATTCGTATTTTCCTACACTTGTGCTTGCTGGAGCCAAGTACTTCGAAGATGTAGATATAAAACTCCATTAGCTACTTTCTCCTAAGGTAGAGAACCCAGATCTTCAGATTGAAAAAAAAATTGTTTTAATTTCTTTTATACATTCAATTACATATGTCACTTAGCTTACAAAAGTGAATGTTCCCACAAATGTCTTGCCTCTCTATTTTTCTCCTTAATGTCTTTCCTCAGACTCTCCTTTTTTTCCCATCCTCTTCCCACACTGTATCTGGTATCTATAACCATTTTCTATGTTTCTATATCCTCTAGTCATTCAGTTTCAGCCAGAGTGCAGACACCTGCTGGTCCCAACAATTGTGTTATTAAAAGGCTATAAGAATAGAGTAGTTTTTTTGTTTGTTTTTGTTTTTTTGCCTCATTTGACATGTAGCAAGCTGGCAGGTTTTTTTTTTTTTTTTTTTTTTTTAATGGCTGAGTAGTATTCCATAGAGTATATGTGCCACACTTTTACAACCCATTCCTCTGTGGATGTTTCGGTTGGTTCCATGTCTTAGCAAATGTGAATAATGCTGCAATAAACATAGATGTACAAGCACTTTTCTGACTATTCTTCTGTCCTTTGGGTAGATAACAAGGAAAAGGATTGCTGGATCATATGGTAGTTCCATTTGTAGATCTTTGAGGAATCTCCATATCATTCTCCACGTGGCTACACCAATTTACATTCTCACCAGCAGTGTAAGAGAGTACCCTTTTCACCACATCCCTGCCAACACTTATCACTTTTTATATTCTTAATCTTAGTCATTCTGACTGGAGTTAGGTGATATCTCATTGTGGTTTTAATCTGCATCTCCCTTATGATGAGGGGTGTTGAGCATTTTTTCATATGCCTTTTGGCTATTCATATGCGTTCCTTAGAGAGTTACTTTTTCAGCTAATTCTACCATCTCTTAATTGGGTTGGTCATCTTTTTTTTGGGTAAGCCACTTGAGTTCCCTGTGTATTCTGGTTATCAGTCCCTTTTCTGAAGCATGGTTTACAAAAATATTTTCCCATTCTGAGGGCTGTCAGATCACACTAATTACTATGTCTTTTGCCATGCAGAAACTTTTTAGTTCTGATATAGTCCCACTTGTCTATTTTTGAGATTATTGACTGTGCTTTAGGGGTCTTATTCAAGAAGTCTTTGCCTACCCCAATGCCTCCTAAAGTTTCGCTAGTGTTTTCCACCAGTTGTTTTATAGTTTGAGGTCTTAGGTTTAGATCTTTGAGCCACTTAGTTGATTTTTGTCAATGGTAAGAGGTAGGGTTTTAGTTTCATCTTTCTGTAAGTGGATATCCAGTTTTTCTAGCACCATTTGCTAAAGAGATTTTCCTTTTCCCACTGTCCCTTTGTCAAAAATCAGTTGACTGTATGTTTGGGAGTTTATTTCTGAGTCTCTATTCTATTTCATTGGTCCACATGTCTGTTTTTGTGCTAATACCATGCTGTTTTGATTATCACAGCTTTGCTATATATTTTTGGGTCAGGGAGTGAGAGGCCACCCACTGCACTCTTCTTGCACGGCTTTAGCAAAATGGGGTCTTTTATGGTTCCAGACAAAATCTATGATTATCTTTTCTAGATCTGTGAAGAATGTCTCTGTCTCTTTGATTGGGATTGTGTTAAATATGTATATTAATTTGGATAGAATTGCCATTTTTATTATATTAATTCTTCCAGTCCAGGAACATGGGATGTCCTTCCACTTTTTTGTGTCATTTTCAAATGACACAAAATGTCTTTTCTTTTTTTAGCTTCTCATAGTTTTTCTTCTGGAGGTCTTTAGCTTCTTTGCTTAGATTTATTACTAGGTGTCTTATACTTTTTGTGACTATGGTAAATGGAATTACTTACTTCAGTTCCATCTCAGTCTTCCTACTGTGTCCTTCCACTTTTTTGTGTCATTTTCAAATGACACAAAATGTCTTTTCTTTTTTTAGCTTCTCATAGTTTTTCTTCTGGAGGTCTTTAGCTTCTTTGCTTAGATTTATTACTAGGTGTCTTATACTTTTTGTGACTATGGTAAATGGAATTACTTACTTCAGTTCCATCTCAGTCTTCCTACTGTTCATATATAGAAATACTATTGATTTCTGTATGTTGATTTTGTATCCTGCACCTTTATTCATGTATTATTTCCAGGAATTTTTTCATGGATACCATTGGGTCTTCTATGTATACAATCATGTCATCTGCAAATAGAGATAGTTTCACCTCTTCTTTTCCTATTTGAATGCCTTTTATTTTATTCTCTTTTCTGTTTGCATTGGTTAGGACTTACAGTACTATATTGAAGACGAGTGGAGAAAGTGTGTATCCTTGTCTTGTACCTGTTTTTAGTGGAAAAGCTTTCAGCTTTTTTCATTCAGGATGATGTTCGCTATGGGTTTTTCATAGATAGCTTTTATTGTGTTTAGAAATGACCCTTTTATGCCAATATTGCTGAGAGTCTTGATCATGAAGGGATGTTATATCTTATCAAATGCCTTTTCTCCATCAATTGATATGATCATATGGTTTTTTATCTTTCTTTCTGTTAGTATGGTGTATTACATTTATGATTTGGCATATGTTGAACCAACCTTGCATTCCTAGAATAAAGCCTACCTGATCATGATGTATAATCTTCTTTATAAGTTCTTGGATACAATTTGCTAGTATCTTGTTGAGAATCTTTGCATCTATATTCGTTGGAGATATTGGTCTATAGTTTACCTTCCTTGTCCTGTCCTTGTCTGTTTTAAGGATAAGGGTGATGGAGGCTTCATAGAATGAATTATGGAGAGATTAATCTTTTTGGATCTTTAGAAATAACTTAAGCAGAATGGGGTTTAACTCTTCTTTAAAAGTTTTGTAGAATTCAAAGGTGAAGCCATCAGGACCAGGGTTTTTCTTTGTTGGGAGAGTATTTATTACTGATTCAATGTCTTGTCTTGTTCTGGGCCTATTCAGACTTTCTATATTCCGCTGGCTCAATCTTGGTAGATTATATGTGTCCAGGAATTTATCCATCTCATTCAGTTTTTCTTGTTCCTTGGCATATAGTTGTTCATAGTATCCTCTAATGGTGTTCTGTATTTATACTATGTCTGTTATATTGCCTGTTATATGGCCTGTTATATTGCTCATTACAGTAGCCATTTTGCTAACTACTGATCCCATTTCTGCCTTTTTTTTAGGAGCTTAGCATTTTCTGTCTGTAAAACCATGAATGTAAACCAGCTTTTACTTTTATTTATTTTCTTTATAGTTTGCTTATTTTCTATTTCATTTATTTCTTTTTTTTTTTAATGTGCTCTTTTAGTCTGGTTTATTTTTTCCATCATGTATAATCTGAATCCATCATTAGTTTCTTCTACAAGAGTCTCCACCAGAATTTTACTGTCCTAGCTTATGTTAAATAGAAGTGAAACATTAAAATAGATTTAAGGGAAAATTGTGTAACTTTTTAAAAGCATTATTCTCAACCATTTAATTTATTGAAAGATGCTGCTATGGTTTTTGATTTAGCAGCAACCATTCTTTTGTTTACATAGAGTTATGGTTTATTTGTTGTTTTGCTCTGTACTGGAATCATAAATAAAGTTTTCTACATTATTTTCAGTCAGAGGTTGTGATACAGTTTTTTTGTGTTTGTAGTTATATGTACATTTTCCTTGTCTACAAAGATACTCTGTCTACCATGATGAAAAGAGAACTTTTTGGTTCTTTTCAATATGTGTTACACATTAAGAGTATGCTGAGGAGCCACTGGGCATAAAGGATATAAATGAGACCCAAACACATAGGCACTAGATGCCCCAGTTTACAAAAGCAGTCCTCTACCACTGAACTCCATTCTCTCAGGGGGCTCAATAAAGGCTAACCAATCTGATGCATGTGTTGGTAACAGTCCCATGGATTGACACTTGTAAACAGTCAATGCCAAACCCATCAGGTTTCCAATGAGATAGACCAAACCCTGAAGAAACTTCTGGCTTGAGCTTTCTAGCATCTTGAAAGTTGCTGAAATGGCCATAAGTGCCTGAATGGGTCGCCAGGCCATCATACACACCGTCATAGTAGGGAAGATGGAGATCGTATTGCCCGCCATGTACATGATGAAGAGGTTCATGGGAATCTGTTTGAGAGGACCCAAGGCAATGTCCCAGCAGTGCTTCTCCACCAGGATCCGATCTGTCTCTTGCACACTGTTATCCGGCACTTGCTTGTCCAAGTAACCGACTGGGTATAGTAAGTCTCCCTGGCCACTTCCCTGGTCACTCTGGCCCCTGCTGCCTCCTCCAGGCCTGCTCAGCTCAATGGCCCACTTGAAGCGCCTGCCTCGGTTGGTCACCAGGCCTCCCTGGGCCGTCATGGCAAACGCTGCCTCCTAACGCCACAGAGATCCTCACTCTGAAGTGTATGCCAGCCACCAGCCTACTCGAGTCCCCAACTTCTCCATCTCCTCTATTTCATTTATTTCTGTTCAGATCTTTATTACTCTTTCTCCTAGAGTTTTTTTTTTTTTTTTCTGTTGCTTTTCCAATTCTCTGAGGTACTATGTCAGGTGATCCATTTGCCTTCTTTCCATCTTCTTTTTATGTGCACTAATTGCTATGAACTTCCGTCTTCTGCCTGCTTTTACAGTGTCCCAAAGATTATGGAAGCATATGTCCTCAATGTTGTTGGCTTCCGTAAATCTTTTTATTTCAGTCTTTATTTCTTCAGTAGTTGTGAAGTCATTCAGTAGTAGGTTATTTAGTTTCCACATATTTGAGTATTTTTGAGGATTTCTCTTGAAATTAAAATCAAGTTTAATTCCATCATAGTCAGAGAATATGCTGGATATAGTTTCTATGCCTTTGAATCTGTAGAGGCTTGCCTTGTGCCCTATCATGTGGTCAATCTTCATAAAGGTTCCATGTGGGGGTGAGAAAAAGTATATCTCATGGTTTTTAGGTAGAAAGTTCTATAGATGTCTGTTAAGTCCATTTGATTTATGGTATCATTTAGATTCTTTATCTCCTTATCTATTTTTTGTCTAGATCTGTCCAGTGGGGATAGTGAAGTGCTGAAGTCTCCAACAATTACTGTGTTGAAATCTATCTCTCCTTTTAGATCTAATGGTCTTTTCTTCATGTATTTAGGTGCTCCTATGTTAGGTGCATAGATATTTATAAGCATTATATCTTCTTGACCGATTGACCCTTTTACTACAATATAGTGCCCCTCTTTGTCTTTTCAAACAGTTTTTGTTTTAAAGCCTATCTTGTCAGAAATTAGTATTGCAATTCCAGTTCTTTTTTGGTTCCCATTTGCATGGAAAACCTTTTTCCAACCCTTTAGTTCATGTGTGTCTTTATCCATGAGATGCATTTCTTGTAAGCAACAGATGGAGGGTTTCTGTATTTTATTTTTTTCCATTCAGCCAGTCTGTGTCTCTTGATTGGAGAATTTAATCCATTAACATTCAGTGTTAGTAGCGATATTTCCAGACTTGTCCCTACCTTTAAGTTGGCCATCGTCTTGGTTGTCTTTTATTTCCTTATTTCTGGATGTTCATTCTTAGTTTTTCTGGAACAGGATTCTCTTCAGAGTTTTTTGAAGAGCTGGTTTGGTATTGGCAAATTCTTTCAGATTTGTTTGTCTGAGAAGATTTTAATCTTTTTTTTCACATGTGAAGGATAATCTTGTTGGGTATAATAATCTTGGTTGAAATTGTTTCTCTCTTAACACTTTCAGTATGTCTCCCCATTCTTTCCTTTCTTGGATCATTTCTGTTGAAAGGTCTGGAGTTAGCCTGATGGTATGGCTTTTATAAGTCACTTCTTGTTTCTCTCTTGCCAGTTTTAGTATCCTGTTTTATCTGTGGTTTTGGTGTGTCTGGCTAATATGTGCCATGGAGAGGACCTTGGATTGATTCTATTTGAGGTCCTTTGTATTTGTTTGGTCTGGATGTTTGAGTGCTTCTCTAGACTTGGGAAGTTTTCTTCCAGGATTTCATGGTATAGATTTTCCATGCCTTATTAGTTACTGTCATGCTGATTATTCAGATGTTTGGACGTTTAATGGAATCTGGTATTTCCTGTACATTATCCTCGTTGTTATTTTCTTTTTCTTTTTTTTTTTCCCGTAGGTCAGAGGTTTTGTCTTCTACAGTAGCATGGTCTAATCAGCTTTTAATACTTTCAAGAAAGTTTTTGATTTCCTGTACTACATACTTCATCTCTAACAGTTTCATTTGATTTGGTGCCCATTTCTTCTTTCAAATCATGGAAGGACTTCTTCATCTCTTGGAGTTTTTTGTCTCTTTTCTGTTCCAACTCATAGAGTTTTGTCACTATGAATGTTCTGAATTCTTTCTCTGACATTTTGGTTACTGCTTCTGTTTTTTCAAGAGATGGAGGTGAGTTATTGTGTTATTTTGATGGAGACGTAATTCCTGTTTCTTTTTTTTTTTCAAACTTAAGGCTCTTCTGTGACTTTTAGTCATTGGATGATGTAATCACTTTTGGATACCTTTTTGGAGAATATTTCTTCCACTGGGAACTAGTTTGCTTCCCTTTTGCTGTGGATTGCTTCTGTGCCAAAGCCTCTCATCTGCTGTGTTTAGCAATGAGGTCCCCACAGGAGGAGTTTTCTATTCAGGTTTCCGAAGAGAAGTTTCTAATTTTTTGCAAGTGGTTCAGTTTAGAGCAAGGATCCCTGAGAGCCTCATGATGGTAGGATGCTTGAAAACTATGACTCTAGACCTGTCTAGTTCCTTGGGGTGGGTGGAGGATGAGGAGAAGATAACAATATAAGCAGGAAGAAAAAGAATATGAAGGAGGAAAAATCATGTGGCACACAATTTTAGTCAGGGGCTGCAGGTGTAATTGGGCTCTGCTTGAGAGCTGAGAGCTGCCCTATTGAGTAAGGAGAAGTAAAGAATTTGAAAAACAAAGAAGAAAAAAACCCAGCTTACCTTTCTTTTGGGGAGAAAGGGGAGATTTGAAGTTGGGAGCTGGGGCTAGAGCTGAAGCTGGGACCAATGGATGGTCCCTTGTCAGTTTCCCTGACTGGCCGAGGCTGCAGATGGAAGTGGGCTCTGCTTCAGAGCTGAGAGTTGCCCTGGCAGGGAGGAGTGGGAGCTCTGAGGTTGCGACCTGGGGCTGGAGCTGGAGCTGGGCCAATAGATGATCGCACCTCAGTTTCCCTGACCAGACAGCTTTTTAAATTTTGTAATATGCTGGTCAACTCTATGTTTGACTATCTGCTGAATGTAAGATAGCTCTCTGAGTCTTCGTTATTTGTCAAGAGTCACAATGATCTGACAAAGCCACCAGTGCCATTCCCAGTGACCTATAGCTATAAATTAAAATTACTTTCTAGTTAAAGTATACATGAGTGGAAAGTCATAGCCAATGGTATTGGACAATCAAAGGAAAGGAAAGGAAAAAGTTAAATTGTTTGCAGATGGCATGGTCATATACAGAGAAAAACCTAACAAATCCACTAAAAACTCTTAGATATGAGAAATGATTTTGATGAAGTTGAAGAACACAAAATATAAAAGTCAGTAGTATTTTTGTACTCTAATAATGAATGCACTTAGATAGAAATGAAGAAAGCAATCCAATGGCCAATAAACATATGAAAAAATGTTCAACATCACTCACTATAAGGAAAATGCAAATCAACTAACTAGTGAGATATTAACTAACCCTAGTCACAATGGTTATTATAAACAAACAAACAAACAAAAAACCCAAAGAATGATTAGTGCTGGTGAGGTTGTGGAGAAAGGGGAACTTTAGGGCAATGTTCATGGGAATGAAAACTAGTACAGTCACTGTGAGAAATAATGTAGAGATTCTTCAAAATTCTAAAATTGAACTACCTTTTGACCCAGATTCACACTATTGGATATATGTTCAAAGAATGGGAAATAAATCTGCCGAAGAGATATTTGTCTATTCATGTTTATTGTAGCATTATTCACAATAACTAAGTGTTCAACAGTTAATGAATGGGTTATGAAAATGTGGTTTATACACAATGGAATACTCAGTCTTAAAGAAAAACAAACTCCTGGCATTTGAGACAAAATAGATGAACTCAGAAGACATATGCTAAGTGAAATAGGTCAGTCTTTGAAAAACAAATACTGTATGTCACTTCTTAATATATACCAAGTGTCCTCACTCACTAAAGGACTCTAAAGGGTCCCCTAAAGTAGTGAAGTAAATACCAGATACTGGATGGGAGTAAAAAGGAGGAAGTGAGAAGAAATTGGTTACAAGACACGAGAGTGTATATGAACAAGTGGAAAAAATTTTGGAGCTGTATATCACAGTAGAATGATAAATATCAGTGATAAAGTAATACATATTTTGGAAACACTAGTAAAATCATTTCAGGTGTGTGTAACACAGTGAGGTATTGAATGTTGAAGGTGGTGAATGTGCTTATATCCTTGATTTGATTATTGCCTGCTGTGCACATGCTTTAAAAACCACATTGTACCTCACAAAGATTTAAAATGATTGTATGTAAACCAAAAAAATCACAATAAAAAGATATATACAAGGAGGCCTTCATAAAGGTCCTGGAAAATGTGTACTTCGAAACAACTATCCATATACTTCAACATTTTGTTTTGCAAATAGATGATCGCACCTCAGTTTCCCTGACCAGACAGCTTTTTAAATTTTGTAATATGCTGGTCAACTCTATGTTTGACTATCTGCTGAATGTAAGATAGCTCTCTGAGTCTTCGTTATTTGTCAAGAGTCACAATGATCTGACAAAGCCACCAGTGCCATTCCCAGTGACCTATAGCTATAAATTAAAATTACTTTCTAGTTAAAGTATACATGAGTGGAAAGTCATAGCCAATGGTATTGGACAATCAAAGGAAAGGAAAGGAAAAAGTTAAATTGTTTGCAGATGGCATGGTCATATACAGAGAAAAACCTAACAAATCCACTAAAAACTCTTAGATATGAGAAATGATTTTGATGAAGTTGAAGAACACAAAATATAAAAGTCAGTAGTATTTTTGTACTCTAATAATGAATGCACTTAGATAGAAATGAAGAAAGCAATCCAATGGCCAATAAACATATGAAAAAATGTTCAACATCACTCACTATAAGGAAAATGCAAATCAACTAACTAGTGAGATATTAACTAACCCTAGTCACAATGGTTATTATAAACAAACAAACAAACAAAAAACCCAAAGAATGATTAGTGCTGGTGAGGTTGTGGAGAAAGGGGAACTTTAGGGCAATGTTCATGGGAATGAAAACTAGTACAGTCACTGTGAGAAATAATGTAGAGATTCTTCAAAATTCTAAAATTGAACTACCTTTTGACCCAGATTCACACTATTGGATATATGTTCAAAGAATG